TGGATTGATGCAGTGACTGGGGTAATCGGGATGGGTGTGTCAGAGGCAGTGCGGTTGGCGCAAGATAGAGCAGGGTTTAGGGCTGTTGTGCATAGGTCGCTATGAGTCGCAAACGACTCGACTGCACATAACAACAACAACAACAATTATTTTTGTGTGCGTGTACCGTCAAATCAGATCTGACTGGTACAGGAGGAGATTGTCCCTCCTTCCCTGGCAGAGGAATCTGGTGGATTCGAACCGTGTGCCTCTGGGATTATAGTTGCAGCTCATTGCCACTAGGCCACCAGAGCTCCCCTTAAGTGGTTATGTTAACAGGAGGAGCTGTTCCTGGCGGGAGACTTAATGACGTTAGAAGGTCAGCAGTGAGAGGGAACATCTCTCGATGAGATGAGTTGACACAGTGAACCAACAACGGTGAATGTGAAGACAACACAGGATGAAGCAGTGCCAACCCAGTGGCGTCTGACAACAACAGCAACTGGAAGAATAAAGTTCCCAACTGTACTTTTAAGGCGGCATTACTATAATAAAAGAAAATGACCTCAAGTTTGGTAAAACTCAGTGAAGAAGGGGAGCTCTGGTGGCCTAGTGGCAAGGAGCTGCAACCACAATCCCAGAGGCACACGGTTCGAATCCACCAGATGCTCTGCCGGGGAAGGAGGGACAATCTCCTCCTGAACCAGTCAGATCTGATTTGATGGTACACTCACACAAAAATAATAAAAAAACAAAAACAACAAAAAAAAACCAACTCAGTGAAGAAGATGTCACGACATTACCAGAATCACATTTAGACTTCCCTCATTTCCAACCACTCTTACTCAACGAGGTTGAAAGTCATCTTTCAACACAGGGAGCTCAATATTCTTGCTGGAGAAGGTACTTTGCTCTCTCAGGTATGCATAGAATAAATATGTTACGTTGTGCCCTTTGAGCATATCATGGATCAATAGAGTGCAGTCTTGGTCAAGATTCCCTACAACGTGGCATTTGTTGTCGATATTCTTAGGTGGTCAAACTGGATGTGCTGGTAGCTACAGGGGAGCCGTGCCCATAGCCGATAATCATGGATTTGCCTGGAGATCCTTCTGGAAATGCATCCACACAAGGGGCTGTGATCCACAGCTGCTTTCCCACTGCTGTTTCTCCGACCTCCAGCAAGCCTTGAGAAAGTGACCCTGTGAGGAGAGATTAAAGTTGAAAACCAGACTTGCTTAGCATTCCCTGGTACCACTGTCTGTGCAGTGAAGGCTTTCTTGTTAGGAGTTAGCTCCAATTCATAGTGACCCGGTCCTGCATCTCTACTGTGTTTACGACCACTGTTCTGTCGCTGTGACAATCCCTCTCATTGAGGGTCTTCCTTCTTTTCCAAGCATGTGATCCCTCTCCAGGAAATGGTCACTCTTCCTAACCAGGAACCCACTGGCTACACTTATTCCAAGATAGGTTTGCATGTCCTTTGGGAAGTCTAGGATGTAGTCAAGTCTTCACCCAAATCACAATTTAAAAAAGCCTCAATTATTCATTCCTCTTTAGTCGCAGTCCAACTTTCACATGTGTACAAAGTAAGTGAAAATTGTAAACCGTGGTGGAAAAGGTGTGACTTTTGGATAGCTCTTGGGAGACTGATAGCTTTGAAGTCCTTGAAATGTCCTGTCTGGGAAGAGTGTCATTGTTTCTCTGAGGTCATGGTCACACCAGAGAGTCTATGCTAACAATGGAATTAATGGTTTTGAGCCACGTAGTATCAGTAGTATCAGATTGACCTCTGGAGGGACTTGAGACACAAGTCAGCCAAGCTGATGGCCAGCCAGGTTGGTCTGGCCAATGGTCAACTATAAATTTGGCCACCAAGGCCCAAGTGAGCTTCCCTAGTTGGCAATACTCTGTGTATGTTGTCAAACATCATTGCTGGGAGAAGTAGGCTCTGACTGCGACTTTACTGGAAGAAGACAATTGGAAGCTCAGGGCTGATGTCTCCTAGATTCTATCCTGTGAACTTACTCTCTTTGTTGACTTTATTCTTTATTCTTTTTTTATAAGGAGCAGAAACAAAGTGGAGGAGGCTAAGTCTGACTCCTACCTACTTCGTAAAGCATAATTTTCCCATCAATAATATCCATAAGTACCAATCAAAACTACTGTGAAGCATCTCACCCCACCAACAATAGCAAAGTTCAACAGGCCAGCAAGCAACAAATACTTGCGATGTTGTGGAGAGACTGAAACTCTTGTTCAATGCTGGTGAAAATGTAAAATGGTCCAGCCACTATGGAAGACAGTCTGGTGCTTTCTCAAAAATTTTGAAATAGATATACCACTT